CGTAGTCTTTAAGCATTTTATAGGCATAAAAAGATAATTTATATACATATACGAAAGCAAACATCTGACTGACACTAAAAATTCAACTTAAAGACAAAACTTAGCAACAGATCTCATTTGTACCCAAAGAATATCTGCACAGACCAGTATTTAAATCATTTTTAGTATCTTACTTAACTGCCATAAGATAATACCTGTTACATGGCATTTACTTTTGCTAAAAGAAGAAATGCTTAATGTTCTTATAATATCTGTTTATAAAATTGTACTTTGTATATTCTTTCAAATGCTTTATTATGAAACAAGTTTATCAGTGACAAAAATAATTTTGAAAGGACAACTCTACCATTCAAAGAGCTGAAAATACTGAATGACGAAAAAAACAAGAAAAACCCTTAGGTAACATGAAAGGAAAAATGGCAATTAAATCAGTCACAGTTTGTTTTTTCCCTTTTAATAAAACATGAATAACATGCTTCATGTAGACTTGACTCATTCTAATATGAAGATATATCTTAACTCTTACATGCTGCTGGTGGGACTGTAAAGTGGTACAAGCACTATGGAAAGTGATATGGGACTTCCTCAAAAAAACTAGCAATAGAAATACTTTACCATCCAGCAAGCCCATTCCTAAGTATACATCCAAGAGATTAAGAGTCATGGCAAGACTAGACAGGCACTGGAATCTTCACTGTAGTATTATTCACAATAGCAAAAAGATGGAAACAACCAAGTGCCCATCAATGGAGGAAAAGATAAACTGTTAGAGACAGACAAATATTGTAGGGCCCCACTATTATGAAAATTAGGTATAGCTATGCATATAGAAAGAAGTGGTCTTTGATGGTTAGTTACCAAGGATGGGAGAAGGAAACAGGAATCACTTAATAGAATTGTTGCTAAGTGCTGTTGAGTCAGTTCCAACATATAGACACCTTGTATAGAATGTCCAAGGAGTGGCTGGTGGGTTTGAACTGCTGACCTTATGGTATGCAGTCTAGTGCTTATCTCCAGTGCCACACCAGTAGACACTTGTTCTTTTTGGTAAAGAGAAAGACAATAACATATATGAAGTATGCAATAATTGACAAAAGCAAATGAAGACACTAAGAAGTCACACAAGAAAAGGTACATCTTCAATAAATGTTTAAACAAATTTGCAATCATAACAAACAAAAAATATGTATGTAGTTATAAATGTTGAAGTACATAAACATGTGTATTTGTTGTTGTTGTGAAGTGTATTTGAGTCAGTGCCAACCCATAGCAACCCTGTATAGGGATGCCGAGGAGCAGCTGGTAAGCTTGAACCGCTGACCTTGCAGTTCAAACGGCTTTGTAGTCTGGTGCATTAACCCACAGTGCCGCTTATGGGAAGTCATATATATCACATGTAGATATCAATTTCTCTCTAAGGAAAGCCAAAATTACTGCCATCAAGTTGATTTCTAACTCACAGTGACCATACTGGTCTGAGTAGAACTGTTCTTTAGGATTTCTGAGGCTGTAAATCTTTACAGGAGCCAACTGCCTCATCTTTCTACCAAGGAGCAGCTACTGTATTTGAACCACCAACTTTGCAATTAGCAACCCAACACTTAATCCACTGTGCCAGTGCCACCAAGGATTCTTGGTATATGTATGTAGTTCTGAAGTGTCATCAAGTCAGTTTGAACTCATAGTGACCCTGTATAGAGTCTCTGAGAGTCCCGGTAGGACACTGTAGGATCAGCACTAGACTGCTAACCACAAAGTGGTGGTTCAAACCCACCAACAGCTCCTTGGACACTCTACAGAGGGTTACTATGAGTCATAACTGACTCTACAACACTTTAATAAAAATACCACAGGGTATCTGAAGAGCAAGTGGTAGGTTTGAACCATCAACCTTACATGACTAGTCCAGTGTTTATCCTACAGTGCACACTAGGACTCTGGTGCATCTATAAGCATATGTAAATACATGTTTAAGTGTGCTGCATATATACACATGTTGTTGTTGTTAATTGCCGTCGAGTCGATTCTGACCCATTGCAACCCTGTATAGGGTTTCCAAGGAGTAGCTGGTGAGCTTGAACCACCGACCTTGCAGTTCAAACGACTTTGCAGTCTGACGCATTAGCCCACAGCACCACACCAGGACTCCATATATACCCATAGATAGAATAAAACACAAAATCAGCACAGTTATAGTGACTTCCTAGACAACCAAAAACTTGGCTTACTGGGTTGAAGGGTTTAGGACAAAGACTTGTGAGTTAACTCACATCAACTGGCATAACATAGTTCATAAAGTTAATGTTGTAACCCCAATTTGGTGATTAGTACCTGAGGTTTTAAAAACTCATGAGCAATTACCTAAGATACAAATATTGGTCTTTACTCAATCTGGAGTAAAAGAGAGAAACCAAAGGCTCAAGGAAGAAATTAGTACACAGGGCTAACAAACAGCCCAGATGAATCATGCCTCTTCTAATTAGAGACCAGAAGAACTAGTTGGTACCCAACTACAATGACCAAGTGTTCTGAGCAGGAACACAACAGAAGGTCCTGGTTAGAACAGGAGAAAAACAGAGAACAAAACTCATACTCATTTAAAAAAAAAAAAACTTACTGAGGAACTCTCAAGGCAAGTTCCGTAACAAACCCTTTAAACTAAAACTGAAACCACTCCCAGAGGCCACTTTTCAGTCACACAACAGATTGGAACATAAACAATATAACCCATGGGTAACATGTCTCTTAAAATGTCAACATATACTCAAAAGCAAAGATGAGAAGGCAAGGAGGAGAAGAGAAGCTATATCACTGAAAACAGAAAAAACAGTACAGACAATGAAAATGCTAACACCTTATGAAAATTTAAACCAATGTCATTGAGCAATTTGTATAAAAAAATGTTAAAAAACACGTTTCATGGTGTAAACTTTAACCTGAAAAACAATCAAAAATGGGCTGGACACAGTTTCTTATAAAATCTCCACACCAGTAGCCATGAGTCAGAACAGATTTGACAGCAACCAACAGCGGAGTCCTGGTGTGGTGCTTGCTGTAGGATACGTACTGGACTGCTGACCACAAGGTTAGCAGCTTCTCATACAAGGTCTTTATGAGTTGGAATGACTCAACAGCACTTCTTGTTGTTAAGTGCCTTCGAGTGGGTTCCAACCCATAGTGATCCTGTGTAAGGTTTCCAAGGAGCAGCTGATGAGCTTGAACCGCCAACCTTACAGTTCAAAATGACTTGGAAGTCCGCCGTATTAACTCACAGTGCCACACCAGGACTCCACAGTAGCAACAAAATAAATATGAGGGTTCACTTTCAGGATCTAAGTGTTCTTTCCAGAACATGTTCTTGACTCAAGTTCTTCCCAAACTAAAACAACAGAATCCAAGTAATTACATACGAAATTGATACTTAAGATTCCTAAAGCATTTAAGAGTGGGGGGTGCGTGGAGGGCAAAACTCATTAAATAGCACTAACATAGGTTTAACTTTTGTAGAATCCAAAACTGGCTTTTAAAAAGTGTTATTAAAGAAAATTCAATGAATTCTTGTTTATACTATAACTTTCCTATTTTAATTATCCTTTCAGTGACAAACTGAGCTAAGTTGGAATCAAATTTTCTTTAAAATATCCAAATTTCAACTTTAAACTTCAGGCAGGTTTTCATCTTGTTCATTTTTAAAATGTTGAATGTCCATCCTGCTATTAGGTTATATTCGTTTTCTACCAAAAAGGTAAGTCTTCAATAAATCAACCAAACAAAAATGTGACTAAATCTCAGAAGAAAACAGTAACAGAGTAATATAATGAGGTCAGAACTCGAGCAGCCAATCAAAGGCATAAAAGCATTTCCTACACTATTAATAGTCAAAAGAGAAAACCAATCACAGAAACCTTGAGCCTTCTTTTGACAGTCACAGAAGCAAAAGAACCAATCCACACACTCCCGAGGTTGACAATAAGGCGGGACCGTAGTTCATTGAAGAAATTCTTGAGGGTGCAGTTACTATGAACTTCGCACGCAAGTAACACCACTCGAGAGTCATAAACACTGTCAGTCACATAAAATTCAACTGAATGTAAAAACCAACCCATGGGGGGAGGAAGAGAGGCAGTATTTTTGCCAAAAGGCACTGCATCATCAAATAAACAACGGCCAATTTAGATGCACTAGATCTCCAACTTCTAAATGACCATCCTCCAATGACGATTCTCAGGGACAGAGCGTGGGCACAAATCAGCGCCGGTGGCTCGTCCCCAAACATGCTCCGTTCATTTCTAAAGCTGCGCACTGAACAGGCGCCGTCCCGGCGAGACAGGTAGAGCTCTTCTGTACCGCGTCCTACGTGGGACCGCGGTACGAGCCCTTCGCTGCTCTCTAACGCTACATCCCGCAAGGTATCACGGCCCCCGCCCTGCCCGCCGCAGTGCTGCGCTGCTTATCCCGCTGCACCATCCCGGGCGGGGGAGTAAAGAGAGAGGATTACCTTGCTGGGAGGAAAACGATGCTTGTTTTGAAAAACACTTTACTTTCCAGTTATTTCTAAGAGAACCCAATGCAAAAGCAAATTAGCAAAGCGGGTAGAAAAAAAGCCTTTCCTAGGCAAAAGATCCCTAGCCCATTATTTAACCCAACACTGGGAGCGGGGGGGATGTAAAAGAAGAGGTAAACAGAGATCGTACGCCAAATGCGGCCAGAGCATCTCCCTGCGCCATTCCCGGCCGCCGCTTACGGCAAGGCCCCCTTACGGCAGCGTAAGCAGCGCTGCGAGCTAATCACAACACTGGGACGCAACAACATGGCGGCCGCGGGCGGGCGCTGCGCCGGCTGAGAGGGTTTACGCTACTCTGCCGGCGTAGGGTCTCATACATTGGAGCGGCAGCGGCGCCCTCCAGCGAGCGTAAAGCGCTATGTGAATGGCGAAGCTCGACTGACAAAGGGGAGGGGGGAGGAGAAAAGGGGGGGGTAATAAACACTCGAGTCCCTACCGATTCCTCCTCCTTCTCCATCCCGGTGGGCATCTGGGGCACGGCCCGGTTGATGGAGACGCAGTCGTTGAGATCAGGCATGTCCTTGCCGCGGTAGATAGGCAGCGGTTTGGCGGCGTCCAGCGCCCGCGCTCGGAAGGAGAGTTTACTCATTGTCTCCCCGCCTTACAGGAACAGCCCGGGCGGCGGCGTCGGGGCGGGCGGGGAGGGGGGGGAGAACTCCCGCCGCCTCCTCCACCTCCTTTCTCAGTGCAGCGCGGCCGGCCCGCTCCTCCTCCTCCTCCTCACTGGCCCCGGCCACAGCATGGGCGCCCACCCCACCCGAAAACAGCCCCCCGCCGCCCGCGGCCGCTTCCACACACTAGATCCGCCGCTCGCCCGCCCGATCCGCTCCCTGCGCCATGGCCAACATGGCGGACATTACCACAGCGGCGGCGAGCGATCCCGGCAGCCCGCGCGAGAGCGCGCCCCCGCCGCGGGGACGCGCCTCGTCCTCTCCCTCCCTCCCTCCCTCCTTCCTCTCCCTTCTCCTCCCTTGCTTGCCCACCCACTCTCTCCGCTGCGCGGCCGGCTCTCGGGAGCGTGCTCAGTCTCCGGCCACTGAGAAGAGAAAGGTGGCGACGGTGCCCCTCCGCTGGCCGGTCAGCGCCCTCTCCGTGTGGCAGGTGCCAGGTGCGCAAGTTAACCCGCGCCCCGGAGCTTGCGCCTCTACCTCTGCAGCCCTGTCACCCTGCTCGCTGGGTGTCCGGGAGGAAGACGGCGGGCAAAATCCCGCGGCGCGGAGCGGAGACGTGCAAGTGCAGAAGTCTGTGAGCAAGAAAGGAAGATGCCGTTTAGGGCCACCACAGCTACAGCCCGAGCCTGTTACAACGTTTACTCCAAGACGCCAGAGCGCAGACTATATCGCATCTTCCAAATCGCGCGTCCCCGGAAGGTGCCAAAGGTCTATTCCGTCTGCCCACTCAGGGGAGCCGACCATTGGGGCCTCGCCTGCCCCAAACGCTTGCGTGCCCCAGCGCACTTCCTCGCATTCTCTAGTCAATACCTGTCCGACAAAACTCTCCAAGATAGGGCATCCACGCTCATTCTCGCATCCACTAGGAGGATGTAGTGAGAGCAGAAAGGGTTAATGGAGGCTGTCAGATGCAACAAGTATACTTGAACCTGTCATCCAAACTTAAGTAGAGTTACTGAGAACATGGTAGATATTTTTTTCTTTGAAGTCTGGGCAATTAAGAATTTTTAAAAGTTAAAATGACAAAATTTGATCAAGACGGCACACGTTTCCAAGATAATTGGGTGCTGTGGAAGATGCAGAGACGTTAAAGTCCCTCGTGCAGTTTTCACACTAATAGAAAGACGGAATCGTTTGAAACATGACAGCAGTAAAAGATGAAAATAGTAAAACAGCTGAAAAAATTAATGACAGCAAAAGATACAACTACTTGACACAAGACAGTAAGTAGCACATGATTCATTATCAAATGAGTGTACAGGCAGTAATTGCCATGAGAGTTCAGAGAAAGGAGTTAATATTTTAGCCCTTGCAGGTTAGAGAAAGTTTGAGGAGGAGGGAAATAAAAATTGACTCATAATTTTGATGCTGCTGACATTAACTTCATGTAGTCAAGAGTTTCTTGGTTGAAGCGTTACAGATTTCTCACAAAATTCCTCAGACAAGTGCACCAATTTTACCATTTCCTAATAATTTCTAAGTATTTTCCCTTACAAAAAGGTAAATGGTTTGCTAAAGTCCTGCTGCAGGGGGAAAAAAAAGAAAAAGATTTTGTCATTTCTACATGACATCTTTCCATTCATTATCTCCTTCCCTTCCATTTCTTTCTCTTCCTTCTCTTTCTTTTCTTCCCTCTTTTTCTCCCCCTCCTCCTTTAAAGGCAGAATGATGACTTTATAGTAGTGCCTAAATAATCTAACCAGTTCAGCCCAGCAAGTGGTTAGTGGAGCTCGAGTGTTTTCCATCCACTTGGTTGGTGGAAACAATGGCGATTTGGTGACTCATTTCTTCTTGTAAGCAATACCTTCCTCTGCAGGAGTTTCTATCCTTTGCAAGGAAGAATAAAAAGTTGTTGGGAGGGGGTCAGCACTGAGTTCAAGGCTGAAAGAGAAAGAAAAAGCAACAGTAAAAGAAAAGTGAGTCATCCGTGACTTTCTTTGTAGTACCAACACTTCTCAGGTTCAAATAGGATAGCTTTTTCCCCCTTATTCCCTATATTTAGTGTTATTCTCAGGAAAGGAAATGTTGAGTATTTATAATATACCAGGCATTATAATGGAAAACAAACAAAAACACAGTTGCTATCTAGTTGCTCCTGGCGATGGTTATGTGCTGAGGACCCTGTAGAGGGTTTCCAAGGCTGTAAATCTTTAAGGGAACATAAAGCCTCCTCATTCTCCCTCAGACCTGCTGGTAGTTTAGAACCGCTGACCTTGGGTTAGCAGCCCTGCTTGTGATCCACTGCACTACTAGGGCTCCTTCCCTAATAGTACTTCATAAAAATTATCTTGAGTGAATGATTAAAGAAAAAATAAATGCTCTCAATTAATCAAATTCCACTTAATTTTCATTGTAATCCTACAAAGAAACGCTATAATTTATCACAAAAGAAACTTAAGCCGCAGATAATTTGTATACACAAATAACTGTAGTTAATAACTGGGTTCAAATCCAGGTTTAGCCAGGCTCTAAAACTCAGACTTTCTCAACAGTGGTACACTACTATCCAAGTTCTCTAGATTGACCATTCAGTATTCCAAGGTTGTTTACCTTCCTACCAATGGCTTTTAGGTTCCAGTACCTAAAGATGTAATTGCCCCAAGTGGGTCAGGAACAACAAACAGCTCCTCTGTTCATCACTAGATTTCTAGTTCTATGCCTCACACATAGCAGGTTTAAATTCTTGGCAACCCTATATAGGATTACTATGAGTTGGAATCAGTTCAATGGCACTTAACAACAACAGGTTATCTATGTGTGTGTGTTGATGACTATTCCACCAGGAAATTAATTTGTATAGACCCTATTCCACTCCAGTTTAGAGTTCAGTTACCTTACTGACAACACCTGAACCAATCATTATTGTCAATATTTGCTTTTTTATGACCTACTCCTGGTGTGGTGCTGTGAGTTAATGTGCCAGACTCTAAAGCCATTTGAACTGCGAGGTTGGTGGTTCAAGCTCACCAGTTGCTCCTCAGAAACCCTATACAGGGTCACTATGGGTCGGAATTGACTCGTCAGCACTTAATAACAACAACTCTGCCCTCCAGCTTACAACCTTTGGGTTTAAGGATCTTTGTTGTTGTTGTTGTTACATGCCATGGAGACAATTCCGACTCATTTTTTGTTAAATGCCGTCGAGTGGGTTCCGACTCATAGCACCCCTGTACAGGGTTTCAGAGGAGCAGCTGGTGAATTTGAACTGCTGACCTTGGGGTTCAAACCACCCTTGCAGTCCAGTGCATTATCCCACATCGCCACACCAGGACTCCAACCCTATCTAGCAACTCTATATAGGTTTTCTGAGAAGCAGCTGGTAAATTTGAATGACTAACCTTGTGGTTCAAACAAACTTGCAGTCCTGTGCTTACCCTACAGTGCCACATCATAAAACCAGTTAAAAATTTTTTAAAAAGCCAAACTTTTTTGAAGCCTAAAATTCAATTATAAGAATGTATTTTTGCTGTTGTGGTAATTGTTATTTTGTTGCTAGTCTTTTACTTAGATCATAGAGTAGATTTCTTCCCCAAATCTCCATTTTCTTCTTACCCTGTAGGAAATTATTATAGAGCTAGGAATAAAACAGTTTGAGGAAAATAACTACAATTCGATTTTTCAAGTAAGATACAGCTTGTGTTTTCTTGGCTTCCAATTCAGTGCTCAAACTAGAATGCGCCTCTGTTTCACATTTGGAAAAGCTTGTATTTGTAGATAAATATCGCTTTTCATAAAATAACATTTATTTCTGGATTTTATGGAGCACTGCTGGCACTATAGGATAAGCATTGGACTGCTAACCACAAAGTCAGCAGTTCAAATCCACTAGCTGTTCCATGGGAGAAAGATGATGTTTTCTGCTCCTATAAAGATTACAGTCTCAGAAATCCTATAAGTCAGAACTGATCCAACAGCAGCATTTACTTCTAATCTATTCTTGAACACCCATTTAATTGGTAGTGCTAAATACATCTTTTCAACTCTGAAGTAGATCCTCATACAAAATGCCTTTATCAAAATTTGTTTTGAATAGTTGTGCAGCCTAATAACTGATTTTAATTTCTTTGCAAAGCACCAAGTATGTTGTTGTAATTAAGTGCCATCCAGTCGGTTCCAACTCACAGCAACCCTGTGTAGGGGTTTCCGAGGAACAACTGGTGAATTTGAACTGCTGGCCTTGTAGTTTGCCGTGCAGTGCTGAAATAGTCCACTTCAAATTTTCTCTGGACCAATTTAAATTATATGTATTTAATCCAGAAAGTGTAATATATATAAACACCCAAGAATTAGAGCCAGTTTTAAAGCTATATCACAAATAAAACCACTATCTAAATGTAGTCTAAATTAGAATAAATGTCAAGAACAACTATAAAAATTGAAATTATATTCCAGAGGCCATTTTCCATACTATGATCAGGGTAGGCAACTTCCAAATAATGACAAATTACTTTTTGAAAGGAGCCTTAAAACTAGTAAACACAGTTGTTTTTCAACCATTTCAGAGTTTTGTAAATGTCATTCTTTCTAATTGGCTCCCTATTTCAGCAAATCCAATTGAAAGTTAATTGGGTTGGTATGTGAACTGCCTTCCCCACTCTTCCCCCTTCTGTTCCCAGAATGAAACCAGTACCAGTAAAGCTTTGTTGTTTTCCATATGTAATCTGAATGTGGGGTTTGCTTTCATTACAATCAACTGGAGTCACTTCCCTGGTTTCCAGCGCCTGTTAGTGAGGCAGCTCTGAATCTTTGAAACTTAGGGAGCGAGACTGTGTTCAAGTGACATGCCAGACATCTAGGTCCATTTCTTTATTCACAGTGGGGATACCAGATGGCAAATAAAAATGTGTGGCTATGGTTCAGTCTCTTAAAAGCATCTCTCTTATCAGACCTGGTTGGAATCACAGGGTGCCACCTTGTGTATAAACTGACGATTTACTTCCCAGCT